GTCCAAGAAATGCTGTTGCATTTCTTATGAGAGAGGATGAGATGAATACATGCATCTGTGTGATTCATGTTTCTACGCTCATCTATTAATGGTAATAAAGAATGAGACCATTGTTCTTGAGCAAAATTAATATCCTGTCTTTACTCTCAAAGCAGTTTAACTCAGGTACATGTGCCACATCTGAACAGTCAATATTCAGAAGTAATGTGTTTGTTTCTAATACTGTCTGTCTGCTTTCCTCCATAGCGTCACTCATCATCCTGTTCTCTGTGTCCAGCACAGCTGACTGTTTTTTCTTTAGCATGTAATTAACATGTAATACCAAGACACAGGAGTGCAAAGCCTGTTCATGTCGACACGAGGGAGGAGGGAATCGTCCTCATAAGCCTGCTGGATTAGCAAGAGTTTTCTTCAAAGGCAGCCTCGGTACGACCCTATGACTTTCATAATGTTAAGATCAAATGAAATGTCAGAATTTAACCAGCATAAAACTCACTATAAAATGTTACAGAATTCACTGACATCAACAGACATAATATGCAAAGTGGAGTCCTGATATTCACAGGCTTTAGGGACCACAAATATTAGACCCTCCTCTAAAAACGCTTAAATATCAAATACACTTTAATGTGCGAATACGATAACTTCTGCTCACACTAACATATAGTGTTGTGCTTAGGTATTATTTTCATCTGAATCTTTTAGATATGTTCTATAAAACAATGTCCAAAGTTTTCTGAAGTTAAATTTCACAGAAAAATCTGCAAATAATTTTACCCATGAACACTGAACTGAGGGGGATCTGTGTTGGCTTGAGGAATTGATACACACTAAGAAAACTTAGATTAAATTAAGATTCTTCAATTCTACTTTCATGAAATCACTTTAGACAAAGACAGAAGAAAAATCTTCCAAGCACTAAAATCTGAAGCCACTCCGTTTTTGTGTCCATTTTGTGAAGAAGGAAGATGCATTCAGTGTCTTCAGAGGTTTTTATGTTGTTTTTCTTAGTGGATCTTGGTGCAGCGCCACCACAGGCGAGGAGGGGAACAGGTTGATCACAGGGTTTGGTTGATCTGAGAGAACCACAGCAGCTGGAAATGGAACAATGTTATAATTTTAATTCCTGATGAACCAAGATTACCAGATGTGAAAACATATAAAGTACTCTTAATGTGATCTCATCATTTTGACTTTCAGCAGAATAAAAGTAATTTAGCAAATTCTAACTGACCTGAAGCAATAAATATTTAGTCTGATTCTGTGTCAGGCAGTGAAGGGAAAATAAGTTACATTGTTTTTACATGGTATGCTTGAAGACTATTATGCAAAATCGATGCATTATCTTAAGAAGAAAGTTGAAAATGTGAAAGTTCAATTTCTTTTATGTTGTTTTTGATATACTGATTTTTTTTCATAACAACTGAAGGTAACATAAGCTGTGTTTCCACTGACCATATAATTGTCTAATTTGACATTTCGAAAACAAAATCGCTTCTGTTTTTGAAACAAAAGCAATTTATGTTTGAAGAAACAATTTTTTCAATAAAAAGTTTTGGCGCTAGGATGGGGTGGTTTTTATGGCCGTATCGAAATTAGTTTATCTTTCAAAACTGCAACGGAGACATTTTTTCACACCACACCAGTCCCATGATCAAGAATTGGATGTTTCCATTGGCGTAAACCATGAAGAAAAAGACAGGAAGTAGTTGGAGGATCATAGTGCAACATGGTTTTTAATGACTTATTATGTGAACAAACTTCATCTGAGATTTTATTTGCATTAATTTCTTAATGGAAACACCACTAATGCAACATTGTGTTTTTGTCAACATGGGCAGAGTGCTGTCAAATTTTATGAACAGTTGTAATGGAAACCGCTTTAGTCACTTGACTGTAGGGTAAAACAGAACTATGTGCCTGGAAGATACATAATGCCACTATCACCAGAAATCAATTAATCACATCATAAGTTAAAACAATCTCAAAAATTTTCATTTGATTGATTTATTGTTTTTCTTTCTCTCTTTCTACCAAATTTCTGTTTGGTGATCTGGTCTCAGCTGGCCTTTTTTTGAAGGACAATTTTGCTTACAGAATTTTCATAATTGATTTCATTTGTTGTTTCTGTTTTGTTTATTTATTTTGGATATGTAAAATATCTTCCAGTTCCAGTGTTTAAATGTTCATTAAAATTTAATGAGAACGTGTTCTTACATTATTATTATTATTATTATTATTATTATTATTATTATTATTATTATTATTATTATTATTATTATTATTATTATTATTATTATGCCATTACTGTTATGTTACTTGAAAATGGTCTCAAAACAACAATATTCTAATTTTTGGGACAATTTATCATCCAGCAAAAATTTGTAATGGTGACAAGCCTGAGTACCGCCCCTTTAAATATCTGATTTTATCTTGCAATACCTGCCTTACATGCAGACCCTGGAAAGGTCAAAGGTCATCACCACTGCACAGCCAGCAGATCTTACTCTGGGACTCTGGGAGGAAACCAACTAGTGCACAAAGAGAACATGCCAACTCCACACAGGAAGTTGCACACTGCTCAGATTCAAAGGAACAACAGTTTTCTACTGTGACTCAGTGGTGAATAATGTTATCCACAGCGAAGCCTTGGGAAACCTTCATGTGTTTGAATTCACCCTGATCAGCCTCAGAATCACAGCGGAGCCACTGCCCATACAACGAGGCCCTGCTGCGGGTTCGCCTCGCCATAATGAAACAGCAAAATTAGCCAGCAGAAAGAAGAAAATACAAAATCAAGCTTTATTATGAGCTGTATTTATGAGGTTAAACAGTAAGCATATGCCAGTGCTCTGAGTCCTTCCCCCAGGAAAAATCAAGCAGCTTGTTGCCAACAGTTTCACACCAGGAAGTCAATCCTGAGAGCTGTAATCTAAATTGTTGACTATTTGCGTAGTTTGGAGAATTATCCCAGCTGGCATCAGTGAAGTATTATTTCTGCATAGAAACCTCCAGATATCCTCCCTTCTCTGATCAATACCTACTGTGCATTCAATCATGAGCTTGCATCCATTCCACTCAGGGCACAAAGCAATTACCAAAGACTGCAAGTTATTTGAAATGGGGAAGCGCTGTTGTGGCAGCTTGCTGCAAACAGATTCACTTTTAAGCTCAAATTAATGGACCCTTGGCTCGACAGAAATTATATTCGGTTGTGTATTTTCATAACAACCTCCCCTGAGCTGAATCCAAAGACATCTTATTTGGCAAACATCTCTGGCTGCCTGCAGCCATCGGTGACAGGAGGGATGATACAAAGGAGGGAAAGAATAGAGTTAGCAATCACTGTAGTCCTGAGTGAAAAGAAGGGTTGGAATGAGTTCAGCTGGAGACAAAAGGAGGACTGCCATTGTTAGTGGCAAAACTTTTGAAAGGTTGGATTGAAAAAATATCAAGTTAAAGCTGGAAGCTTAACACAGCCTGTCTGATTCACTTTCAGTTCATGATGAAATTGGTAAAGTTTGTCATAATTGATGTTATATTAATGTTATATTTATTTATCTGAGGACTGCAGGTGTTCGGCTTGCAAGTCTGTTTGAGCAGTTTGGATTGATGTTGAGCTCAGCTGGGGAACAAAGAAAAGTTTTGCCAAATTGCTGACTGTTCAATGTGTATGCCGTTGCCTGTGTATTTTGTTAAAATATACATTGAAATATTATTTGATATATGCAATGTTGGGCTGATTGTTTGCTTTATTTGAAATACTGTATTTATTGTCATATTAATTGGATGCCTGTGGTTTGGTGTGGTGCATAGATGTTGCATTGTCCTGCACATCATGTGTTTTGTTGTATTGTTCAGGTATGTAGTTGACGTCTGTTGAAGGCCCTGACTGAAGCCCCACGGCACGCTGCTGCAGAAAACTGAAAGAAAGAGAAACATGAAGAGAAACATGAAACCCTGTGGTACACCACAAGTAACCCAACATTTACAGAAACCTCAAACAGGTCAATGAGAAGTCAACAACATAATCAGTTGGAACATTTCATGTCAGCTGTAGCAGCTGAATACAGTTATGCTTTCATTTCTGGCAGCAGATTTAAAACATCACCAGGAAACGTCTCCACTTCCTGTTCCCACTGACAGACTTCTGCTCACTTTGCTGACAAAATGACCACAAATGGTATCAATAATTAAAGAGGGGTTTTCTTTTCCATAAAGTTTTGCTTACTAATTTAGAAAAGTGTGGAGGTTTTTCATATCACTATTATTATCTTCTTGGAAACTTGCTAAGGAATCCTTCAGGAGTGTGGCACACACACAGGACTGGAAGTGAGCTGGAATAGAGCGCTAGCTGTAGCTCAGCTGTAGCTCAGCACAGACATGTGCCAAGTCACAACTTGGATGATCAGCGCTTGTGAATGGAGGTCACAGGGATACAGCTGCTGGTGTAATGGATGATGACAGAGTCCCAGCCAACTCTGCTGCTAATTTCCTCTGAGAAGGAACAGATGCAGAAAGCATGGATACACAAGAAAGGAAAAATAGCAATTATCAGAACAAAGAACTGTGGCAGCGCGGAGCTGCCAGCCAGGAAACAGGGAAATAAATGGCTCCACATTATATTATAAAGTCATAACTTTAATGTTCCAACAACATACTGCTCATGTTTGTTCAGAATACTGTTACATTATTGCCAAATACTTATATTGTACATCAAGGTACAGCAGAATTTTCACATTCTCAAAAAAAATCCTGTTTTCTATGAAGGTGATTTTTAAAATGTATTTTCTTGTTAGAACATAAAACATTTAATATTCAGAAACACACCAAAAAAATATGTTTTGTCTTTGCTTGACTCTGTATGGGTTCAGATCCATCTGCAGATGTCTCATGCCGCTGTGTGGGATTTCCAGTCTAACCATCAACTACAACCATCCTCACCTCCATGAAGTTAAATGACTAATACATATTCTCCAGAATATGCAATATCTTAGCCGTCTTGTGACTCTGATTATTTATTGTCTCTTTCAAAATCACCACATCCTCTTCCTCCTTGGAGTGGGAGGTCTTCTTCTACAGCCAGGCCATCTTACAGAGGCCGTCTCTTTGCTCTGCTGAAGGTTGAAATAACCATCTACTTACTTTTTACCCAAATTATCTGAGGTGGAAAAAGAATCCAGTAAAGAAAAACATAAGATACCTGTTGTGATTAATACAATTATTTTATTTTTAGACAGAACCAAGTTATTGTGGGCAATGGAGCATCACTGAAAGGCTGCAGGGAGCTGATAACTGTAGATAACTTCCCTGACAGCCGGAGAACATGAAGCTAAGAGTAACATGGAAAACAGATCAGTTTGGACCTGACCTGGAATCAGCTTCATGCAGGTCAGCAGGGATAGAAGAACTGCTAGCTTACAATTACTTCTCTAACACAGCAGTAACATGACAGGGAGACTTTTTTTTTTTTTTTTTTTTTTTTCCAGTTTGTAGCCTTGTAAACCCCTCTGGCAGTTCAGGACATCAAATTGAAGTTAGCAGACCTCTGAAGCCTGACCGGAGTCCGCTTTCTACAAGTCAGAGGCATTAGGATAAAATATGCGTCCAGGATGGAAGAAGGACCCGCTGGGGCCAGGCAAAAAACATTCAGCAGCATCTGGTAGTGATGACCTGTGGATTTATACTGAAGGATCTTTACTTCTGATACCAGGCAGACGTTGATGTCTTAAGATTGATTCTCAAATCCAAGTATCTGTACTTCCAATACTCCAGTCATTTGAGACAGTGTGTCTAAACAAGAGCATAATAGAAAGTAACTGAATTATTGAGATTTTCCCTAAATGAGACGGGTTGATGGAAACTATTTTTCCTTCCATCTGGTAAGTGTGTAACACGTCAGGACATAATGCAAGTGTGACTGAGCATGTGACCGGTCAGTCACACACTCACACATGGAGCTATTTCAGATTTCATTTTATAGTCGTTCTTAATTAAACAAGGATTTATTTCAGTACGGCTATTATTGACATCGTTTTGAAGAGCCCACTGAAAACCTCCTGATTATTCCACCAAATATTGATTTCTCAACTCTTCCTGAGTTCAAACAGTAGTATTGTTGTTTCTAAATGAATATAAATTTGTTTTCTTTGCATTATTCGAGCTCTGAATGCACAGTGTCTTTTGTGCTATTTTGACCATTTCTTATATTCTGCAAATAAATACTACATTTTGCTTGGAATTTCAGAAACTTGTCAGTAGTTGATAGAATAAAATATCAATGTTCATTTTACTCAAACATAAAATCAGAGAATTCCAGAGCTGTATTTTGTATGGTTATTTTATGTCGTTAAAGTTGTCCAGCTATAGTGAAAGATCCTGTTTCACAATGCACTTGTGAATTTAAAATAAATACATTAGAGTGATGTCATGTGTTCTTTTTAGGAAAAAAAAAGATTTGAATTACAACACTTGGTTTATTATCATGATCATAATGATGGAGCAGCCTGTGTTCTACATCACTAATACACACAATGATCCCAGCAAACCCACAGATCTGAACTTTGCTGCAGTCGGTATATTATTATAAACCCATCCCAAAGTTGTTGTTTCTCATTTCTGAGCACCTTCAAAACACACAGTTCAGTCATTTTTGGCTCTGACTCCACTGCTGGTGTCCCATTATCAATTTATTTTCTTTTAAAGCCATGCATGGCTCACTGTGAGGAGCACAGAGCGCTGAAAGCTGAAAGCTCCATTCCACATTGCTCAAGGTCTGCCTGAAGCGACTCAGACGTCGTTGCAGGCCTCAGTCTTCTCTGTGTCACCATCAAAATGCATTTTAAAAGTGTTCTGATTGTAAAACCTGAGGGCTTTTAAGATTTATTTCCGCCCTGGTCCAATGTAGCTTCCTGCAATTCAATTCAGTTCACAACAAATGTTATCTCAGGACACTTTGTAAGCAGAACATGCCATTTATACTCATAAATACACCATAGTCAGTCTAAAACATATAGATGTAATTTGTCCCTACTTAACAAATAATGCAGTAGTAAAGGTGGGGAGGAAAATCTACCTTTAGCAGACAGAAAGGTCAGCAGGTTGAATTGGCTGCTGGATTTCCTTCATACATAACCTCTGTATCTATTGTTTCCACTGTTAAGCTTCCCTCGGTTCTACTCAGCCTGCTGTGTGTTTGTAATGGTTGTGATATTGTCACTTCATACTATTGAGCTGCATCACTACAGCTGGACCATTAACCTATTGTGTTCCAGTTTATACAGTTTCCTTAACCACAATGTGCTTTATTCAAAATGCAGTTTTCAATTATTATTATTTTGTTTTTCTGTGTGAAAAATGATATCTAAACCAACTTCTAACCCACCATGTGAAAAGTAATTACCCCTTAAGTCTAACCATTTGCTGTGATGTCCTGGTGGCAACAACTTCAGCCAACAGTTTGGAATAACTGACGTGTCTTTGTCAGATTGAAGTCTGGACTTCTACCAGGCCACTCAAAAACCTTTTTTTATTTGAGTCATTCAGAGCTGGACATGCTAGTGCGCTTTGGATGAGCCTGGCCATTGTCTTTCATCTCCCTTCTCTGCTCAATTTGAGATTTCTCCCATTGACCTCAATTTCAATTAGCCAGTTGAATTTCATACTACCAGCACTCCTCCCGACCCCACTGAGGGACAAGGGTGTTCAGAAAATGGATGGATGGATGGATGGAATTTCATCCTGGCCAATCAGTGAACAGAAGGAGGTGTTGTGGACGATGGCATAGCAGGGAAACACGCACACTCTCAACTCTCCC